GGACGGACGGACGGACGGAAACACGAGCACATAAGCTTTACCTCAACTTCGTTGTGTTACGCTAAAAAATGGGCAACGTCGAGGATTTTGATGACTTTACTGATGCATGTAAAAATCAGTTTTGCGAAATGAAGTTGTTTCAATGGAAGTAAGTGATTTTCTAAAATTTACTAACATCTTCAAAAGTAATTCTGGAAAAAACAAGACGAATGTAAACGATTTACCGACTCTCAGGGACATAGTAGAGGTAAAATTTGTTCGAGGAGACGAGGAATTTTTTACAAAACCATTTTTCTACAAGATAACTATACAAAAACAACTAACTCGCTTAAAAGAAAAGCAGAGGTTAAGCTTCCAGAAAAATTAACAACACTTCGAGGAGTGCCACCAAAAAAGAAAAATGGTATCTTAAAAGTATTTAGTCCCTGCAATGAAGTCATCCCGTAAACCTTTCTGGGAAGATCTACCCACAAATGAAATGGCTCCTGATTTAGTGGAAGAAGGTTTTTAAATTCAAATTTTACTTCATAATTATTCGAATGTTTATTCCTTTACATTTAGTTTGTTTGAGTTTTAAGAAGTATTATGGTTCCTTTTATGTACTTATTCTTATGTAGAAATTTATTTTTAACATAAATAAAAACGTACAAAATCAATCAACTTTACATTATTTTAAGCAAATCTCTTTACTAAATGAACCACCTAAATACAATGGCAGAAAGATGTATTGTCGTTTACATTATTTTACCAAATGCTTTGTTTATAAAGTTATATTGGCAAAATGATGTACACGACTTTTAAACAAAAGTAGAGTAAATATAACTAGTTTTCCAAGATGTTATAATAACTGATGATCTTTCAGGCCAATGTACAACATTTTGTTTATGTAGCGTCAATAATAAAGATGAGATAATTAGCTTAAAACTTAATTTTCTCAATATCTAAATTTAGCAAGTACATTAATTTGCCTTTGTGCGGCAGTTTTTAGGTCCCTATAAAGGAAAAGCACTAATGCGGTAACAACGATTGAGGCTCTTAGAAGTGTATTTTCTAGATTCGGTTTGGTTAAGTACGTTGTGAGCGACAACGGTCCCCCGTTCACATCAAATGAATTAGAAAATTATTTTAAATGTAATGGGATAAAGCATTTGTTTACGGCACCGTATCACCCATCTAGTAACGGGCAAGCTGAAAGTGCCGTTAACAGTTAAAAATTTTTTAAAAAAATGTACAATTGAAAATAACTCAATTGAATTTGTATAAATTCCTGT